CTATTAAGCGGCGAATGAATTTTTGTCGACTATAGACAGGAAACTAAACGTTCACAATAATGTGGTGAACTTTATCATTTTTCACAGTGCAGCATTTCATAGTTCCGTGCTTGTTGTTTCTGCCGTTTATTTCGTTTGAAGACAACACGTCAAGGAGGGCAAGGAACTGAAAAACTGGAGCACTTACAGGAATTAGTCAGTTCCTGCTAATGGGTAATACCGCACTATTGAGTTATATGAGCCTCTGGACATAATGACATGATTAGATATATTCTTTATGAGAATCACCTACCTAAACAAGCCACTCCATTACCAGAATAGCCATTAAGACAAGTGCAGTAGAATGATCCTTTGGTGTTGGTACAGTTGGCATCAGCATGGCAATTGTGAGCAAGATGAAGGTGTGGGTCAGATAACTGACTCGGAAAACATTCGTCTACGTCTGAACAAGAAAAATGGTATGGTTTTATGAACTGTGTGGTTTACTTCCGTAAATCTAGATTTATTTTGTTTTCTTGGGAAAGGGCATCAACCTGGAGCATCAGATAATCCTATATTGAGTTTTCAGTTGTCAATTCCCTAATAGTTGTACCATTTCATTAGATAGGAATTTTTTATAAAGTCATCTTAACAAGGATTGTTATTGGAAATACAGGCTTCATTGCTTTACCAAGACAACACCATGGTTGTTCGGCTACTGTGACAGTATGATTTTTATCAACTGTAGAGAGAATTCAAGTTTTAGTTTGTCTTGTCTGGGTAAGGGTAGCTCTGGAAGAACTGGTGTTGTTTACTTAATCTAAGTTACATTTCCTATGTATCACTCATCGTTAAACTTTCCCAGATTAATGACATTTTTCACCTGCACAAATAACACCATCTCCTGAGTAACCATGGTGACACGTGCAGTAAAATGATCCCTTGTTGTTGGTACAGTTAGCATTGTCGTGACAATTATGAGCATAATCGCTGTGATGAGACGCCAGGGCTTCAGATTGACATTCGCTGATATCTAAAGTGTTAATTACAAAGGGAAAAATAATTTGTTTATTTTATATATGTCGGAATGCTTGTTGTTGTGAAATAGAAATGTACAATATTTTATATCCCTGGCGGTAATACCTTCCGATTTAGGGGCACAGTATGACTTCTCATGTACACCAATATAAGACAACAATGTTTAGACAACGTGGAAGTCTAATATGTCGTTTTTAGATCTATACTGATAAAAGATGCAAAAAGCTTTCTTGGCAGAACTTCATTATTGTTAAACTCCCTTTTTGTGAAACACGAAATTGTAAAATAGTGAAGAAAGGTTCAGAGAACTTGATTAGACATTGGTTATTACCAGATTCAAAAATAATTAAAAAAGAATTGGGCCGTTTCAAGTTAGCTTTTTACGTGTGTTTTTAAACGAGGTTTTGTGCAACCAGGCGACCAGGATGGAGGACCCGCATGAAAACCATCCAAGGCTGATGTGGCTTCCTCTCTCAATATTCTAATTTTTTTTATTTTCTCCAAGAAAATATTTCTGATTCCTCATGGACTTATTTTTATACTATATTTTTAGAAGCAAGAGACAAAATCGATAAACTAGGAAAAGGCCTGTTACAGCCATGCCTTGCAGCTATGTTCATAGATTGCCGCACATTTCAAACTATTGACTGAACCCTTCTTCCATTGCTTCTTTGTTAATGTGTACACTTGGGACATAATTCTTTTCTGAGTGTGTTCTACGTACGCGAGCATTTTAATACTTTCAAAGAAAAGTCACCTTCACATGTGACTCCGTCCCCAGAGTATCCCGTATGACACGTACAGTAAAACGATCCTTTGGTGTTCGTGCAGTTGGCGTCAGCATGACAGTTGTGTGTGCCAGATGTACACTCGTCGATGTCTGTGAAAGAAGAATACTTCAAAGGTCACATTCCTCGAACTACTATATAAACTGAGTTTCAGCTGCCCTTTTCTCTTCTGAGGTAAACTGGCGATCCCATTAATGTCCGTTAGTAGTCAGTTTTAAGTGTTATTAATCCTCTTTGTGTTCTCTTCCCAAGACACACTCACTCTTCAAAGCGAGCATTCTAAGAACTCTACCTGTGCAATATTCTCCTAAGCCAGAGTATCCGTTCAGGCATGTGCAGTAGTAAGATCCTTTTGTGTTTGTACAGTTAGCATCATCATGACAAATGTGAGCCAAATGTTGATACTCAGGTGACAATCCAGATGGGTCACATTCATTGATGTCTTTTAACAAAAGATAAGAGGAATGTTAGTTAAGCAGAATTAATTTGAGTGGCGTGGCATTGGTAAGTGACGATGATCACGATATTATTGAATGACCTACCTAAACACAAAACACCATCTCCAGAGTACCCCGTATGACACGTGCAGTAGAATGATCCTTTAGTGTTGGAACAGTTAGCATCAGCATGGCAGTTGTGAGCAAGATGAAGATATTCATCAGATATCTGGTCAGGGAAACACTCGTCCACATCTAAAATCAAGGAAAGCATCATTATTGACAGCGATCCAATGATAAGAGTATGCTAAAAATATTCCGCGAACTCATTAATAATTCATCAAGTGTAAACACAGGAAATCATGGCCGTGACGTTGTTTGGATATTTAATCTTAATTTGCATAGATTTTTTTATGATTTATTTCTTTGTTTTTTCCTTCATTTTAGTTTTGATTGAGAAGATACATCAAACTCTAAAGACAGTATGGCTAAACTTCAGAATACCCGGCCACTTATTAGCATCTCATTGAATAAGAATAGCAACTATTGTTATAT